ACGTTATAATGTGATGGTCAATCCCACTATTCGTTGGTAAAAGAGTAGCCCAAGAGTTGTCGGTGGGTGGTGATGACCAGCTGCCTTCCCTCTAGTCTTATACTTCTAAATTAGGGACGACTAGCGCAGATAGCCCTCGTGTAGCTTTGCACGAAATCCATAACAAACAAACCTTCAGGGGTGCACCAATGCACGATCAATCACACCAAGTAGTTACCTGAGAAATCAAACAAAATTACGACGTCTAAATTAATTATCTCATCTTCGTAAAATTATCTTAACCCTTAGCGATAAATTCAATAGCCGCGGCACTTGAAATTATTTTAGGCAGAATTAGAGTAAATTTTACCGGTTTCGTGACAACGGATCGCAAACCAGTCATGCAAACCACGAGGCCCACCTTATAATAAAGTCTCGAAATATTTGGTATTTCACACAAATGTTGTTGGTATTTGCTAGAACCTTAAAATATGTTACTATATTTGCAAAAATATTAAACGTTTGAAAATGAATTATATATTATTAATAATGAAAGCTTTTGTCTGCTCGGAAATCCTTTCTGACAGGATAGTTATTTAAATAGTGTCTCCATGTGTTTATATATGTGGTTATATATCCAGTTCGTTCATTAGAACTTTATGAGCAATAACCGTTTTTTTAAATTTACATAAATTACACATTTTCCCCTTAAACATATCTTGTCATAAGCTTAATACTACCTCTTATAAGAAGTATTTTCTGTATTTTAAACGAAAAAAAAATACAATATCGGAGGAAATCAGTACTCAGAATGATAAACAAGCGTTTTCTAATTTCACATCTAATTTGTGTGTGTGTGCGTGTAATAATTTTATTTTAGCATAATAATTTTCTTAGCTCATTAAACGAACTCTCATCCCTTCGAGAGAAAAAAACCGTGCTTACTTGTCATTAGATTCTATACAAACGTTTCTATTACATGTGGAATGTCTCCCAGCAGTTGCCATGGGAACGGGAGGATAGTGCTCCTATTCGCGCTTGATTTAACACGGCTGCAGAGTTGTCTTTTCTTTTCACGATGTAATAGTTCTTCGATCTTGGATCGATTAGGAACAGAGTTCCTGCTGAACAGCTAGAAAGCTTCACATACGTAAAGATAGATAGATATTTCTTTTTTTATTTCTATATAAAAATCCAACAAGTATACTACTTGACACAAGCTAAGAAACAATTAGGGTGTATTGAAAACGTTTTAATAATCTGACAAATATACAATTTTCATAGAGGACTAAACACTCTCACATCCTAAGTTTCGATTAATGATTAGAAACAAAACAGTAAATAAAAATTATTTTTGTTACATAAAACAACTGTTTTCCAGGTATTCACATACTATAAAGTCGTTGTAAAGTACTGCGTTATAAGGTATAATAATATTCTGTACTGGTTATTGCAATAAGTTTAACGTCTAATGTATGGGAAATTTCAATATTTGCTTTATTCATACCTAATACCGAGAAATTATTTTTTTACTCGTAGATGCAACCAGGCCAGGCATGGCCAAGTGGTTAGGGCGCTCGACTCGCAATTTGAGGGTCGCGGGTTCGAATCCCGTCCCACCAAACATGCTCGCCCTTTCAGCCGTGGAGGTGTTATAATGTGACGGTTAATCCCACTATTCGTTGGAAAAGAGTAGCCCAATAGTTGGCGGTGGGTGGTGATGACTAGCTGCTTTCCCTCTAGTCTTACACTGCTAAATTAGGGACGGCGGGAAATAGCCTTTGTAGGTTTGCCATAAAATCAAATCAAACATACAAACTTTTGACATAAAAATAATAGAATTGTAATGGAGATCTCTCATTTGAATGGCTAGTAAAGTAAACTTGAAGAGGTTTCACTTTAGCGATTGCAGACTTTGAGATAACCAGTGACTGACAAGAAACAAAGCCAATACAGTTGATGGTAAAAATAATAATTTAGTTAATAAATTAGTATCAGTATATATTCTGTCTAAACTAGTTTCAAAACTCTGACATATCAACGAGATACGACTATCTCAAATACATAAAATACGACTAGTTTTGTAAGTGAATAACCTAAACACAATCTATGTCTACCTACGGAAGGCCTATCTTTTTTAGTTTCTGAAAAGTTTGCATTTCAGGTACTTTATTATCAACAACCTGAATAACATCACAAGCTAAACGACTCTTAGAAGCACACAAACATTAGCAGCTTGTAAAGTTAGAACCGCAGATAATTTCAATGACATGCAAGACAATTCCAAGAAACTCATTTAAATCCTTTAGATGATATTAATTTGGAGAAATTTATGCAATCAAATTAAAATATAGAATCACGTATCCGAGTTCCACGTTAATGTAGAAAATGATATGACCATTTACTTCAAAAAAGAAAAACTATTACTGTGAACAGTTTCTTATTATTCAATGCTACTGTGTTACCTATAGGCGTTGCACGTTATCTAACAACTACAATGATATATAATGCAAATACAAATTTCACATGGCTTCTTATTATTTATATTCTTATGCAATTTTTGGAAACTGTTACCCTAGTCATTTAGCAGAATATGATAATGTTATACTGTATATTTAAAGTCGGTTATTTTTCATTATTTGCTAAACATTCTCAAACACATTCTATTTGACGTATTAATGAAGGATGCCACTGATATCTTTACTTGCACTTCTGCTTTCAGGCCGATCCTGCCAGTCAGTGGGTCTGTGGGTCCAATGTTCGTGACC